TTCCGCTAAATCCGAAAACTCTGGTGATCTCAACAGAATCAGAAAGGAAACCATTAAAAACGATTAGTTTGATTGACGGATGAATTCATGCGTGAACACGAAGCCGTAAACAGTGGATGCGCAAAAGTTAGATCTTTACAGTATCTTCAAACATGGCAAATGATAGTTTTAATACTTTTGTATCGAGTTTTGTAAGCTTTAGCATCAACGGTTTAAAAGAAAACGCCGAAAATTTAAATTACTACCCAATTCTGAGAAGAAAAGTAGAACTTTATTTGTTTCTGTCAACTCACCGTGAATGAGAAAGTTTTCTTTGTCGCTTCTTGCAAAAATGCTGTCAACAGCGGCTACGATCAAGGTGAGCGTTGTTTATCTCCAATGTTCTTTGCCTTGTTAACTTGCTGGCACGTACAATTTTCGAAAATATTTGCCTTCCTCTTTTCTCCATAAATTAACTTCTATTTATAGGCAAAACTGGTCTTCCGAGAAAATCCCGAAATCACAAAACAGTGACAAAGCGACCTCGTTTTCCTCTGTAGTGTTAAAAATAGCTTCGAGCGTACGAAAAGTCAGCTACAGTAAACCACTTTACAATAAATCACACTGTTTAAACACCATGAAGTCTTTTCTTGCCTTCAAAGTCATCAGCACTTGGATATTCGTTTATTTTCAAAAAGGCTTTACTATGAAACTTTGGCAAAACAACCAGTTCCCGACAGCGATTTTGTTCTGCTTTATACAGCTATTTCGAGAAAGGTTGTCGGAAAAAGTGCACGCGACAATCCCGAAAGGTCTTGTGGGTGGTTTTGAATTCACTGTTCTTCAAAGAAGTTTGAAAGAATGACACGAGAGGCCACGGACGGATGTTTGCGGGTGCTAAAAGAAAGCAACAAAAGTAGGTTCGACAGCTACAGTGTCAGGAACAGTGTATTGATCATATCCCATATTACCTTTCGGGGTTGTCGCGTGAACATTTTCTCCGATAACCTTTCTCGAAATAGCTGTATTCACCGCCTTGCGCGGTGAATATTTAACAATTATTCCTCGAGCCCGAATGGGCTCTGAGTCAATAGCCCATGAGGCCGAAGGCCGAATGGGCTATTAATTCAGAGGCCATGAGGCGAGGGGAATAATTGTTTTTGCAAAGTCCAACTAGTTGGTCAAAAATATCGAGAATAAAAAAAAAATAGCTAATTAAAGCTAGACTTTAATCCTTTTTTGCCGCCAAAAAGCCCGCGCTTTTCGCTACTAGGGGGCTATAACGTATAGCCTAGTAGCAGCTCAACCAATCAGAACGCAGCATTGATAATAGCCACTAGTTGGATTTTACCAAAACGTCATAGTCCGAGATAGCTAACCAATCAGATTGCTTGAATTACCAAGATCACTGAGTGTGTATATACTAAAAGGTTTTAGTGATGAAATAAGATTGCCAAAAGAATTTCAGAAAACTGAGAAAGGCAAAAGTTCTCAAAACAATTCCTGAAAGTATTTCCGAATTCAGCTTTTAATTGTTATGGAATTGTGAAAACGTAACAGTCACTAAGGCAAAATGAGTATTTCCAGTTTCTAATTCTAAAACCCAAGCTAATCCCCAATCCTGTTTTTCTGTTAACACCATAAATTACTCAAAACCTTTGTTGGAAGACGAATGTTTCATTCATGGATATTTTTGGCTCAAACTCCTGCCACATGGGTATTCTCAATCAGGAGATCTGCGTTACTTTTATAATGGCGGCAATTTTCATAAAAAAGGTATTGAGATAACAAGCTAACGTCCGTCAGAGCTCGAATGCTTCTGTTGAGTCACTTCAGCAAATTTGTTTATTGCTTCGAAATGAGCGCGTGTGTCAGTAACAGCAACAAATTCTCACCTAAACAACGGGTGGGGGAAACGTCAATTTGTCCAAGGAGAAACAATGAAGGGAAGAAAGACGACACAAATTGGTGTTTTATAGAATAAATCTATTTATCAACCATTTTCTCATCAAACTGTCGAAAACTTACCAAGTATTGCGAATCTGCCAACCACGCAATGGCAAAATAGAGAAACATCTCGTCAGTTTTGATTATTTCGAGAAAACGTTTCTTATGTGTTTGCGCCAACTACCGGAAGCGGAAATACGGTCATATACCTAAGACTTCTCGTTCCCAGGGCCTATCGTTTCTTTAGATCACGATCGCTTTAGAGAAAAAATATGTTTAGAAATGCTACGTGGGATATAAAAAGATTAAGTACAGAGATGGTATCAGTAAAGCCCGAGAACCATTTTTAATTTGAAAGGGAAGACTCTTCAACTTTATGGGATGAACAGAGGAGATGAAACTTAGTCTTTTGTATTTTCATAGTATCCTCTCGATACAGTATATACACGTTTCTGTGGCTACTTTTTCTCGTCTGCGCGTGGGAGAGGTTTTAAGTTGTTGTCATGTTTTTTTTATAGTACCAGTCAAGCGTATGTTTCGCCGTGATTGCACGACACCGTGTGATTTGTGTTATAAATAAATATCGTTTATTCCATTCTCTTGCAGATAACTGAATTAATAAGCCGTTATAACTGACAATAATACTACATTAAAGCTATGCATTAATTATACTACCTAAAAAACTACTTAAAAAGATAATCATGACAGATACTTAAGCGACGAATATTTAAAAGTAAAAAAGTTCTCTGATCACTTAGTTCGCGTGGACTTATTGAATGGTCGAGACGAACCAGGTCTAAGGTTATAATATATATACAGCGGTGGACACCAAGAACGGTAATGGGTGGTCACGGGTGTCTGTCATCTCAGCCATAATTGATGACATAGGAGCTCGCGTCTGTTGGAAATTGTAGTTTCGTTGGCTAGCGACATTGCTTGACTGTACGAACTGTTAGCATATATGATTTTAAGGGCCGTTTTTGCACGGACTCTATTCTATCTGACAAATAGTCAAGAATGTCGTGCCACACCTGCACGGCATATTCTAAAATCGGTCCCACACTACTTCTAAAGACTTTCAACATGTCTTGTTCTCGCACGCCAGCTCGCTTTAATAGTCTGAGAGAGTAAAGTTTTTTTGATGCCTTAGCGGTAATATAGTCAACATGGCAGAGTTGTCAGATTATGTTGAAAAAAGAAAACAAACAAACAAACAAAACTACTAAATATTTATTAGTAGGGAAAAATAAACGGGTAATTTTCTGTCCTAGCTTCGTACGCAAAGCAAACAGTACCTGTTCACATAGTTAAGGTTACTATTAAATGTGATAAAAAAAATTTACACCCAAAAACTAGCCTGAGTTTTCATTTTGGCCTTCTCATTAGAATGGGAGATTAAAGTGATAAGTCGTAACGTGTAAATTGTACGCCGCCGAGAAGTGTCGTCTTTTTTAAAACCGGCCTTCATAACATAAATTTATATTTAGTTAGGCGACATTTCAACTTCAGAAAAGAAAGTTGTGTAGGTGGGCGATTGGGAGCTCAGAGCTGCTAAAAATGTTATGCAAATGAGCTGAGGGGTCATAGAATGTCCCCTCACGACATTTGCAAAAGTAACTTGATGCCATGGTTTGACAGCTCTCGGCTCTTGAGGTGTTAGCCGAACACCCTAGGACTTCCGTAAATCGCCCACGAAAGAGTAATTCAAGGTACAGTCAAACCTCTTTAATACGGACATCAAAGGGACAGAACCAAGTGTCCTTTTTACAGAGGTGTCCGTATTATAGAGGTAGGGAATGTATGATGTTTGGCATTTCTGGGACCAAACGAGCTGTCCGTAATAGAAAGGTGTCTGTATTATAGAGGAGTCCGTAAGGAGAGGTTAGACTGTACTTTTTAAACTGAAATAAAAGTGACCACAATTTTCTATTAAAGCAAGGTAACTATGAGTAATTTTTTTCTGCTCTTTTACTGTTTCGGTTATAGTAAAACGAGATGTAAAAATTTTACCTTGCGGCCCCTTTCAATATCGCGTAGTCAAATACTGAAGTGGTAAACTCGGCAATAATTCAGTTTTGTGCCGATAATGTAAATTGCAATAGACAGTGAATAGACCATCCTCACCACTTCTTGAAAGACCGTAAACAGGGTTTTTGGATTTTAAGACATCGAATTCCTTAAGACCGTAAACGCAGCAACTTATTTATACTCTCCTTTTACTGACTAAGATTAACAAATTCAACAAAAGCGTTAGCTAACAATAAATTGTGTGAAGGCATCAGACTATTATAAAGACGACAGAAACTGACTAGTGACGGATATAACTTTTCATTTGTTTGTGATTATTATATATAAAGCAAAAGAAAAAGGCCTTACCATACAGTTGTATGTCACCATCGCAAATAAAATCGCCAAATTCAGAAGCTACTGGATCACTAACACAAAATGGTAGAGAAAAAGTGGAAATAAACTGGGACACCAACGACTGTTTTCTGTACAATTTTCTATTACTTGAGGAAGGCTAAAAATTCCTACTTGTAGATGACCGTTCCATTTATGTACAATTTTCGAAGTTTATGTACATTTCTACGATTGTCTGAAGTTCAATTTTTCAAATTTCACTCCCCTTTAAATGTGATGGAGAGAGGAATCAGAAAAATTCTAACATTCGTAATATGTTAAAATGCATGTAAAGTTTTCGAAAAAATAATACTGAAGCCCCTGTAATTTCGAAACGAATCAAGTTCTCCTGGGATGACCGAACAGATACAAATTCTATAGCGCCGCTTAGAATGCATCTCTAGAGATCTAAAGTACTCTGGAAAGCGAAAAAAGTGTTTCAATCTATTTAGGAGGAAACCGTCGTGGGTGCCCCTGAAAAAGGTTCCCTCCGACTTGCACAACAGCGGTAAACTGTTTACTCCCATACTCACTCAACTGCAGTTCACTTTTCCTACTACGTGTATCACAAAATCACAGGCCCAAATAAGCTGTTTTAGAATCACTTCATCCAATTTAATAGCACGCACTAATCGTGCAATATTCTTTGTAAAGCATGTTTCGACCCGCTGGGGATGGAGACCAAAAACATAACGGATCGCCAGATCACAGCGTCAACCGAGTACAACGCTGGAACAGGCGCCACCAATGGCAGACTCAATTTCAAGCCTGGAGGAGGTAAGAGTGGCGCATGGTCCGCTCGTCAAAATGACGTTCATCAGTGGCTACAAGTCGATCTTGAAGGCAAAACCGAAGTGACAGGAATAGAAATCCAGGGAAGACAAGACGACGATCAATGGGTTACGAACTTTACTATTTCCTACAGCAGCGACGGCACCACCTATACATCTTATCAGAACAGCAAGGTATGGAAACCAATGAAAATCGTAGCAAGAGAAACTCAGGGAATTAAATAATCGAATTTCGACACGGTAACGTTAAAATGTCTCAAAACCTCAGACCCGTATTAGCCTCCACAAGTCCCTTATTAGTGTAACCTTAACACTTTATTTTCCCGCTGCAGGTCTTCAATGGAAACACGGACCGCAACACCGTGGTTTTGAACGTTTTGCACCCTTCCATAAATGCACGCTACATACGGGTGCATCCTAGGACGTGGCATGGCCATATTTCTATGAGGATGGAACTCTTGGGATGTCCATCAGGTACCGACAATACTGTTTGTTTTCGTGAAAATCAACAAAAAGCAGGGGCATCCAACGACTGTTTTGAGTAAAATATCTGTTCGGAGAGCCAAATATTGCCGCCTACAATTTTCTATTACTTGAGGAAGGCTAAAAATTTCTAGATGATCGTTCCATTCATGTACAATTTACGAAGCATATCAAATAAATTCCCTACGATTGTCTGAAGTTCAATTTTTCAAATTGCACTCCCCTTTAAATGTGAGGGAGAGAGGAATCAGAAAAATTCTAACATTCGTAATATGCTAAAATGCATGTAAAGTTTTCGGAAAAATATTACTGAAGCCCTTGTAGTTTCGAAATGACTCAAGTTCCCCTAGGATGATCGAACAGATACAAATTCGATAGCGCCGCTTAGAATGCATCTCTAGAGATCTAAAAGTACTCTGGAAAGCCTGAAATGTGTTTCAGTTTATTTAGGAGGAAACTGTCGAGGGTGTCCCTGAAAAAGGTTCCCTCCGACTTAAAATACACTCTTTTTTTTCTATAAGAATATATTTTATAAGAATATCGAGGCTGAAATTTGCGAAATCTTAAGAATACTTTAAGAATAAACTCCAGGCTGAGATTTTGAAAAGGATATAATTTCCTGTGGTGAAAATCTGTAAATACAATACAAATATACCTTTTCAATTTATTCCTTTCTTTAAACGGCAAAACTAGCTAACTATATTTAACAAAACTATAATTGATACCTTAATATATTCTAATTCGGAAATGTCATAAGCTATTATTAAGAATAATACAAGAATATTTACAGCCTAAAATCAGCGGAAAAGTAAGAATATTCAGCCTGGCCCTGGAAAACAACATTCTTATAAAAAAAAAAGAGTGTAAGCTGATTTAAATAAAAATAATCTGTTTTAGAATCACGTAATCAATTTAATAGCACGCACTAATCGTGCAATATTCTTTGTAAAGCATGTTTCGACCCGCTCGGGATGGAGACCAAAAAAATAACCGATAGCCAGATCACAGCGTCAACCGAGTACAACGCTGGAACCGGCGCTACCAATGGCAGACTCAATTTCAAGCCTGGAGGAGGTAAGAGTGGCGCATGGTCCGCTCGTCAAAATGACGTTCATCAGTGGCTACAAGTCGATCTTGAAGGCAAAACCGAAGTGACAGGAATAGAAATCCAGGGAAGACAAGACGACGATCAATGGGTTACGAACTTTACTATTTCCTACAGCAGCGACGGCACCATCTATACATCTTATCAGAACAGCAAGGTATGGAAACCAATGAAAATCGTAGCAAGAGAAACTCAAGCAATTAACTAATCGAATCTCGACACGGTAACATGTCTCAAAACCTCAGACCCGTATTAGCCTCCACAAGTCCCTTACTAGTGTAACCTTAACACTATATTTTCTCGCTGCAGGTCTTTAATGGAAACACGGACCGCAACACCGTGGTTTTGAACGTTTTGCACCCTTCCATAAATGCACGCTACATACGGGTGCATCCTAAGACGTGGCATGGCCATATTTCTATGAGGATGGAACTCTTGGGATGTCCATCAGGTAACGACAATATTGTTTGTTTTTATGAAAATCAACAAAAAGCAGGGGCATCCAACGACTGTTTTGAGTAAAATATCTGTTCGGAAAGGCAAATATTGCCTACAATTTTCTATTACTTGAGGAAGGCTAAAATTTCTAGATGATCGTTCCATTCATGTACAATTTAAAAAGCTTATAAAATAAATTCCCTACGATTGTCTGAAGTTCAATTTTTCAAATTTCACTCCCCTTTAAATGTGATGGAGAGAGGAATCAGAAAAATTCTAACATTCGTAATATGTTAAAACGCAGGTAAAGTTTTCGGAAAAATAATACTGAAGCCCTTGTAGTTTCGAAACGACTCAAGTTCCCCTGGGATGACCGAACAGATTCAAATTCTATAGCGCCGCTTAGAATGCATCTCTAGAGATCTAAAAGTACTCTGGAAAGCCTAAAATGTGTTTCAATATATTTAGGACGAAACTGTCGTGGGTGCCCCTGAAAAAGGTTCCCTCCGACTTGCACAACAGCGGTAAACTATTTACTCGCATACTCACTCGACTGCAGTTCACTTTTCCTACTACGTGCATCACAAAATCACAGGCCCAAATAAGCTGTTTTAGAATCACTTCATCCAATTTAATAGCACGCACTAATCGTGCAATATTCTTTGCAAAGCATGTTTCGGCCCGCTCGGGATGGAGATCAAAAAAATAACCGATGGCCAGATCACAGCGTCAACCGAGTACAACGCTGGAACAGGCGCCACCAATGGCAGACTCAGTTTCAAGCCTGGAGGAGGTAAGGGTGGCGCATGGTCCGCTCGTCAAAATGACGTTCATCAGTGGCTACAAGTCGATCTTGAAGGCAAAACCGAAGTGACAGGAATAGAAATCCAGGGAAGACAAGACGACGATCAATGGGTTACGAACTTTACTATTTCCTACAGCAGCGACGGCACCACCTATACATCTTATCAGAACAGCAAGGTATGGAAACCAATGAAAATCGTAGCAAGAGAAACTCAAGCAATTAACTAATCGAATCTCGACACGGTAACATTAAAATGTCTCAAAACCTCAGACCCGTATTAGCCTCCACAAGTCCCTTATTAGTGTAACCTTAACACTTTATTTTCCCGCTGCAGGTCTTCAATGGAAACACGGACCGCAACACCGTGGTTTTGAACGTTTTGCACCCTTCCATAAATGCACGCTACATACGGGTGCATCCTAGGACGTGGCATGGCCATATTTCTATGAGGATGGAACTCTTGGGATGTCCATCAGGTACCGACAATACTGTTTGTTTTCGTGAAAATCAACAAAAAGCAGGGGCATCCAACGACTGTTTTGAGTAAAATATCTGTTCGGAGAGCCAAATATTGCCGCCTACAATTTTCTATTACTTGAGGAAGGCTAAAAATTTCTAGATGATCGTTCGATTCATGTACAATTTTCGAAGCTTATAAAATAAATTAAAATAAATAAAATTAAAATTAAAGACCTAAAAGTACTCTGGAGAGCCAAAAAAGTGTTTCAATGTATTTAGGAGGAAACCGTCGTTGGGTGCCTCTGAATAAATTTTAAGCTTAAGCCGCTTTTTGAGCATGTATTATCGAGGTTTTTCAGCTATGAAATTTCACAAATAGTTTTGAAGAGGAGAGCTAGTGAGTATACTTCGCTTTTAACGATGGTTACCCGCTCCGTTTTACTAAATTCGGGCGCCGATAACTGTTTACAGTTAAACAGCTCTTTTAAATCATCGCTTTTTTAAGGTCAACTGTCGTGCGAAAATCAATTTAGACCGGGTGCTGCAATAAGAAAAAAAAACAACAAACGATCAGAAAACTGTTAATAGCGCAAACGTTAAAAAGAGTGTTAAGCAGTTTACAGCTGTTACCACTAACACGCGCCTTTGAAGGGTTTTTTTTCTGTCTGTTTAAACCTGAGTTTTCGTGAACGTCAATCAACTGTTTCCATGGTTTTCCACGCGCTCTGACAGAGAAGGTTCCCTCATCGCTGAATGAAGGGCGAATAATTTCGAACGACGACGGCTTTTTTATTAAGATGATTAAGATAAATTATTTTATTAAGATGAAGGATTACATTGTTAAAACAACGAGGTCTCTGCGAGCTGAGTGAAATAGCCGAAACATTCTCTATAGTTTACGTAACGGTTTTCAGGTTGTTTATTTATTTGATGTATGAAAACACGGGAGCTGTGGACGACTGAATTGCCAAGAAGCTAGTATAAATTGAAAGAAACAAAAGATATCACACCGAAAAGGGAAAAAGTTTCCTCTGAATGGAGGCTGTTTGCGAAAATGAATTTTACTACTTATCATTCTTCATGTTATGGAATAGAAACCAGAACTAGCAAGAACTCAGACGAGTTGCGAGCGATTGAGAAAGCTTATGTGGTTGTAACTTACAGTGTGAAAATATGTCGATAATTTGAGTTTCCTCCGAGAAACACTCAACAAATTCTTTCTCCTCATAATCTTGACATGAAGCGGTGTCAGATCCTGCAGCAAAATATTGCAAAAACGGCTTAAACGCCGACATATATTCCGAGTGCTCAAGAAACGGAGAAAGAATCTTCTCTAGGCCAACCGGCCAACGCGTGAAAAACCATGGTAACGGTTGATTGACATCCACCAAAACGCAGGTTTGAACCGAGGAAAAAACCCTTTGAGGGCGCGTGTTAGTGGTAACCGCTGTAAGATTATTCCCTCAATGGGTACTACAGCATTTATTACAGCATTTTTGCAAGTTAACTGCAGATTTCAGGTATCCACTACCCATGATACTACAGCATAGACCTTGTCAGGGTTTTCGACGCTGCGTCTTGACAAGTAGGCAAACGCGTGAGAAATTACAGTCTTTGTATGAGAATCTAATGTCGAATAATTTCCGTAGAACGGCTGTCCTGAAAAAATATGAATTGTAAACTAAAGCTTCATTCCTAAGGATTCTACTCCAAAAAATTGAGGGCGTTACATGCGCTAAAAGACCTAGAACCACTTTTTAAAATTTTCTATACATTTGTCTGTAAGAAAGTCTGTCTGTATACTGCTCCCTGTCTGTCCTCCAGTTTGTTTTTGTCCTTGACATTAGTAAGCAGTCGCCGTAAAGTGGTTATCGGTTTGTGTGCAGTACCTATATTGTAAAGTTGTGTTACAACACGGACTTTGTTAGACGGAACACTCACAGTAACACTGATTCCAACACTCAGATCAACTCTGGCCCTGTTACGACAGCGACTATACCGTATATTGCACAAACCGATAACCACTTTACGGCGACTGCTTACTGATGTCAAGGACAAACACAACCGGAGGACAGACAGGGAGCAGTATACAAGATCAAATGCCGCGACTGCCAGGCTTCTTACATTGGTGAAACCGGCAGAAACCTTAGCACGCGACTGACCGAACACAAACGAGCGACAAGGAATGGTGACGTCAACAATCACATTGCTGAGCACCATTTACAGACGAAACATCGAATTGACTGGGACTTTGCGACATGTATAACGCATTCTACAGGCTACTATCAACGTCTTACTTTAGAAAGTTGGTTTACTAACTCTGAATCATAGCCAACAGTTACCAGCGCCGTACAGACGACTTATTGACGAGATCAAGCAAAACTAACTACGATAGAACGACTGGAGAACTGACAATTTGACTAACAATAGACGACTGTTTAACTGTGACAATAGACGGATCGAAACGCACCAGTTACTGATTACGAGTCTTCATAGCCAATAACATGACGGCTTACCTGACAGACGACCAATAACATCCCAAGGTAATTGACCAATCAGATCAATAAGCAAGAGTATAATACCATCAACTGACGTGATACAATTCACTTTGACTGTGAAGATGACTACCGCACAGGTTGTCGAAACGTCAGTCATTGTCAACAACAACAGTCCTATTCAGGACTACGTTCACCCGGACGATCAAACTCAACCTACTTTTGAAATGACTCCTGGGTTCAAACCTTTCACAGTATTTCATAGATATACATTGTTTACCGCTAAATGAATAGGGTATTTTAAGTGGCATGTATTTGCAAAATGTAAGTGTGGTCTTAGGTGACGTGAAGGAAGGCAGGTTTTCGATACTAAGCGGAGTCTTGTATTGATTTAATGGCGGCTAAATAGTGAGCTGCATAGTTATTAAATCGGAACGATTAAATGGATTCTAGTATTGATTTACGACGTAAAATGATTTTAGTTTATTTGAACTTAGTATTTTATGTATTTCTATTTATTAAAATTAGCTCCATTTGCCCAGCTGCTGCTGATAATGATAATAAATACGCACAAGATGTCCTACTTTCAGAAAACAGATATTTTAATTCAACACCTGAAAGCGCGGGATTTCCTAAGAAGGAAGAACTTTAGTCAAGTTTAGGGACAAGATGTCCTCCTTTCAAAAAACTGGAATTGACTGAGTCATCATATCCATCATATAATACTCGTAGCCATGTTAGAACTTTGATGTCCAAATAACCACTCAGGTTATAATGGTTGTTGGACAAACAAAAGATGATTGAGTGATCGACTGATATCGAAAGTGAACTACTACGTGACGTACGGATAAATTCGAATAAATTACAAACGTCAAGTCGAAGGAACAGACTACAACATCTGTGTTTAAAACAAAACTCATTAGGCTAAGATGATTTTTCCGTTTTTTTGGAATTTAGCCATGAAGAGAGTCTTCATCGTTATTGCTTTAGTTATCTTTGCTCCATGTTTTGTTCCTCAGGCACAGGAGCTGCAACAAGTAGCGTCATTTTTATCCTCAGTGTTCTTATCTGTATGACGAACTTTGTTTAATAACTCATCTGGTTTCGAAGCGTTAGGAAGGAAATTGGAGACAGACTGCAGCCATTAACTAGCATTGATATAAAAAATTCGATTTGACCGGTGATACTCCTTGACTTATTTAACCTCTGAGACTTTGAAGTCGACTGGTGTAAAAACAGGACGCATAAATGTAGACGATAATGGTGAAAAAAAAAACGGCAACAACAGAGTTTTTGAAACAATGCGCAAAACTGACTCTTCCCAGTCGTTTCTGGAAGGGTTGGGCGTAAATGCGGCCCAGTTTACGGCTTCCCAATTTTACACTGTCATTGCTGCGAAATTCAGCGTTGCGACCAATGAAAAAAATTTGCTGTTGTTATTGACTTATAAATTGTGGTATAAGGTTTTAGTGATAAAATAAGATTGCCAAAAGAATTTCAGAAAACTGAGAATGGAAAAAGTTCTCAAAACAATTCCTGAAAGTATTTCCGAATTCGGCTTTTAATTGTTTTGGAATTGTGAAAATGTATCAGTTACTGAGGGAAAATGAGTATTTCCAGTTTCTTATTCTAAAACCCAGGCCAATCCCAGTCCCGCTTTTCTGTAAACACTATAAATTACTCAAAACCTTTGTTTGAAGACGAATGTTTCATTCAGGGATATTTTTGGCTCAAACTCCTGCTACATGGATATCCTCAATCAGGAGATCTGCATTACTTTTATAATGGCTGAAATTTTAATAACAAAGGTATTGGGATAACAAGCTAACGTTCGTCAGAGCTCGAATGCTTCTGTTGAGTCATTTGAGCAAATTTGTTTATTGCTTCGAAGTGAGCGCGTGTGCCAGTAAACAGCAACAAATTCTCACCTCAACAACGGGTGGGGGAAACATCAGTTTGTCCAAGGAGAAACGGTGAAGGGAAGAAAGACGACACGAAATTGGTGTTTTATAGAATAAATCTATTTATCAACCATTTTCTCATCAAACTGTCGAAAACTTACCAAGTATTGCGAATCTGCCGCCCACACAATGGCAAAACAGAGAGACATCGCGTCAGTTTTGATTATTGCGAGAAAACTTTTTATTTGAGGATAAATTCTTAGAGTAAGTTTTAACGAAATTAAACATACTTATTTTTCGCAGAATTAAGAAAAAATATACGGTTCTTTTCGTTCAGAAAGTTTAAAAAAAATGCATTGCACATAAAATATAGCTGTGGCATCTACAAGTGAAATTTTTACTTATTGTAACTTTTAGCGATATGTCTGAACAACTGGTTGTACTTTCATGGCTCATGCTATCGCGTCTTTAACACGAAACTGAACTGGGTTCAAGCAAAAGCAGCTTGTGAGAGACTGGGATCCACTGTTGCCACGGTGAAATCACAAGTGGAGGGACAAGCACTCTCCCCCATAGTATCGGAAGCCGTTTGGGTAGGATTCAGTCCCAGCGTGGGCTGGAATAGGCTTTTGATGGGGCTGTTTTTGCCTAAATTGTGCTCTATGGCTCCAGAAGAGGCTGAATCAGACATTGACCTGTAGGGCTGAATTAGCACTTTTTGGGGCTGAAACAAATCTTTTTAATTTTCACTGTGGACTACTTAAAATTCGATCATAAAAAGATGTTGTATTCTATGTTATTACATGGTGTTGATGTGAAATAGCAGCCGTTAGCAGATGATCATTAATTTTGAATTTCTCCTGCTTCATTTCTCATAAGAGTAAGAAAATTGCTACAGGACAACAAATGCTAAAATCGTTCGGACAAAAATGATGAAGAAAAGTCATAACTTATTTTACTGTTATCTGTTAAGCGCGCGCAGAACCAAGTCAATTTCTGGGTCAAATCGATCTTTTTTTTTTTAATTTAAATATATTTATTGATAATCACATTAAATAATTACACTTACAATACTACAAAAAAAAAAACACTCTAACAATAGACATTAACAGAGAAATTATTACAGGGCTAAAAGAAATTAGAAAAAAGTACAACAGGGCAATGAAATAGTACGGAGTTAAGACAGTTTACTTAAATAAGGCGTCAGTATCCACTTTCTTTTAAAGAATTCTTTGTTGCTGATTTTTTCTTCTGTTTCATATTTAGCGATGATCTTCGTCCTAAATCCATAAATGTTTGGAAGGATTTGTTTGCTTCTACAGTCCCACAAATAGAGTTTTCCAATAATTATAAAATAGTTCAGCAGTTGAAGTAAAGGGCAAGCATTTTCCGTCAAAATTCCAAAGAGCACATTTTCCAAGCAGAGGCAAATTCGTTGATTCGAAATAAGGCACCAATATAATTCAAATTCAATTACTGTTCTGACTGTTATCTGTTAAGCGCGCCCAGAACCAAGTCAATTTCTGGGTCAAACCGATGTTGTTATGCCAAAGATTGTGGTGAACACTCAGAAAGAGCATATGTTTTCACTTCAGAATCGTCAGTTGAGTCACTAAATTGAGCCAGGACTCCTGATTGAGCATAGTTGAGAGGGCGAGCTCTTAGTCGGTTACGTAATCTATACTGAATCATAAGCAAATGATCAATTGGCATCTACCTTAATACACCTTATTACGGTCTCATTGTTTTAGCCAGATTTAAAGAAATCACAACTTCTTTTCCGAAAACATCATTTCTTAAGACTAAGACTTCATGTTCCAGCACTGATCGTATAAACACAGTCCCCCAGTACGTGGAGCAATGTGTTTTCATATCACTCTCAAACAGAGAATCTAAGTCTTTGAGCTAATAAATTGTACCTCCATTCGTATTGGTAATTCATGAGCAGTTTCATCTTTACTAAAGCAAAGTATAACCGAGAAAGACGTAGCCTCATAATAAAGACAAACTAATCAGTTTTAATCATTAACTTTTTTTCATTGATATCTGCAGCTTTTTTCCTACCTCCGCCAAATATTACGATTCTGGTATTTGAAAATTGTGGATTTACCTTGACATGGGAGCGATACACACAAAAAGATATTCTCACTGCTGGATATCAAGTAAAACTTGTTTCTGTCAAGAGTGGTTCAGATAAAGTCACTAACGTTTCCAGTGACACTCAAAGTTACACGTTTTCATCTGATCTAATTCCCAATTCTGCTTATGCAGTAAGTGTCAGGGCAATAACAAATGTTGGATACAGTAACTGGACTGAAAATCAACTGAAAGCATCTGCAGGTAATTCTTTCTGTATTATATTTGTTCGTTCGTTCATACATGCATTCCGTCGTTCAATAAAAATACATAAAAATACATTTATCGCAGAGCCTCGCGAGGTTTGGGGGAGGGAGGCCTGTGTTCGTCATTAATAATAATTAATTTATTCGTTAAAAATAAAACCTGCATTGAGTAGCAGTGGCCTGAAAATTGGCGTTGTTACTGATTTACACATGCGCATTCCTTTTCTGAAAGTTATATTGCTCTTGCTTCCTTTAGTGTCAAGTCTTTATTTTAATTGATCACGTGACCAACAAAAGGAGAAAGCTCAATAATCAGGTCTGTTAAAATGAGTAGAAAATCAACAATTCTAAATCAATAATTTTCAAACTAATATGCTTACAGATATCCCTGACAAGCCAGTTATTAAACAAATTACGTCAAAGGGATGCGTGGCTACTCTGCAGTGGACTGGGCCGACTCCCAGGGGGTGCCCAGTTCTCTTCTACAAGATTCGCTACAAGGAAGAGAAAGCAACTAAAAGCGAGTGGAATGAGATAAACGTCACAGACCCAGACGCCAATAAGCTCGAGCTGACTTTGAAGTGTGTTACAACATATGAGTTTGAAGTTTTAGCGTGGAATATCCTGGGACGGAGTCTTCCCTCTACTGTGCGATCAGTAACAACGGAAGAGGGCCGGAGTGTTTTTAAATCCCATAAAAGTTTGTAAAATTTTAAACTTCTATATATTTTAATGGTTTTTAAACGGACTAGTTCCGCTGATACTTACTCCAAGATTTTACCGTTATAAATACAAGTACTACGAGTAACAGAGTAGGCCGGTTAATATAACAGAATTTACTATAGCTAGTGTTTTGTTCTAATTCATTTGCACTTTCTCTAAATCGAAACGTCTTAACTTTATTCAACTCTAACAGTGTCAAAATGGCAAATTACCTAGATTAGTATGTGTAATCAAAATTAGGGAATAATTTCACGCGCGTTTTGTCCAAATGCTAATAATTTCCCGAGCCTTTAGGCGAGGGAAATTATTAGGATTTGAACAAAACGCAAGTGAAATTATTCCCTAATTTCACGAGTATACCATTTGATTACCTGTTAATATCATGGGTGGCGAATTACGTTAGCAATCTTGGATTTTTGACATGTTTATCCTGGATTGTATCGATCGAGAACTCCAGTCTCTCAAATGTTTAGACCTTAAATTTGGCTTATAAAGTTCAGAATTTTTCCGAATTTTTCGGCAAAATACCTGTTAGAATCCTTCTTGATGTTCTCTTGTGTGTTCAGGTTTTCTAAAGCGTCTTTTTGTGCCCTCTCATCTTCATTCACGGCATTTTAAAACTTCGTCGCCATCTTGACACTGAGACGTACGGAAGGTTGCCATGGCAATTTTGTAATTTCACATGTGAAATTACAAATTAACGCTGAAATTTCGCGCCAAAATTAAGGAGTAATTCGTCACCTATGATATTAACTATCAACATAGTTAAAATATCAAACTGAAAAAAAGGTATAGAGGCTCAATGACCGACACGGCCGGGTCAGGAGTACTGTCGACCGTCTAGAACTGTCTTTTTTAGACTATTTCAGTCACACTGTACCGGATAGCTATTGCGCCTGCGCGAAACCATACAGGGCTTCTGTTCACACATAGGGACAGTGAATTCCGCTCAAATTCTGTAACGGAGCGAAGCTGCGTCTCGTTGATCTCTTAAGTGGAGAGTCACATATCAGATGTCACATATCAGATAGGTGTTCGTGCTATAACGGATAGCCCATTCGTGTTGGCACGAAAAGCTATCCGGAAGATTGTAAACACAGCGCCTGAGTGAGTGAGTGAGTGAGCGAGCGAGCAAGAGAGTGAGTGAATGAGCGAGTGAGAGTTGTCGTTGATTTGTTTTCATTAATGTCAATTTGTTTCTTTCTTTGTTGTTGTCTTTTCGTTTTTCTCCATAACATTAAAGGTCTTTCATCGGGAAGTATCTTTTTGATCGTATTTTCTATCGCTCTGGTTGTGGTTATTGTACTAGTTATTGGTGTGAAGTATTATTACAACAAAGCTGAACAACCCCCTGCTGCTAAAAGGTAAGTGTACAGAAACGAACACACGGAGACTTGTGTGACGCTTTTTTTTCTCTGTTTATAATTCACAGTCATTCCTTCTTTGTTTTTATGTCTGTGATATACCCCCCTCCCTCATAGCAGGAAGCCTTACAGCTTGCTAAAATCGTTAGACTTGAGGACAGGCGCAATGAACTCTGTATCAGGACTTTTGATAAAATTACAAAGGCGGGCCCTTGTCAAAACATGTAACCACGATTAGGACTATCGCCCATAACTTATTTCCTTAGAAAGTCTAACTCGTCTTTTAAATGAAAAATCAAGCGTTCTAGGCGAAGCTTCTTCCGTAGTAGTGTCCTTATAATAGCAAACTCACAGCCTAGTCCCTAGGCGTTCTCTCTTGCCCAATTGTCCGCACGAAGTCTGAGAAAGAGCGGGCGAGTGTTTCTCGGTGACGTCACAGCTCACGGTAGAGTCCAGGATTGACCGAGCCGAGAACGCTTAGGGACTAGGCTGGCAAACTCAATATCTTTTAAAAGTTACTGAAGTGTTAATGCAATTCTCAGTCCGCGATTTGTTGTTAGGTTAGTACAATCTTTAGTAGCTATGATTGAACTTTATTTTTGTATACTATTTTAATTATTATATTGTAAACTCCAGTTTCAAGAAGGTTTTTGTAAATTTTCTACATATTGTAAACCGCGGTCGGCATAGTAATTCATTTTTAATGCGGGAATATGGGGATTAAACTTCTTAATTCATTTATAATATTTTATTTTGCTCACCACTCTTTTCAGAACCGCAAAAGATATTCAAGTATTGGATCATTGTGAAATTTCTCCAATGAGAACAGAATTTATCGAAAATTTGGGACAGGGAGCGTTTTCAAAAGTCCGAAAAGCTAAATTGAAAGACGGTTTAAAGTACTTTGATTTGGAGAAAACAAGCAGAAGCGAAATGACTGTTGCCATAAAACAATTGCGTGGTAAGAGGGAACTTCTTGTACACATAAAATGATATTATAGCGTTCATTTATCAATCGTCTCACGAGAGTCGCTTTGTTATTAACCGCGACATTTCGATCGCTTACTGCTGGTCTTCATATCACAACATTGTGCTGTGTTGTTTGGGAAATACCTTAGCTGATTTATGTTTGGCTTCAAAGGTGACAGCAACGTCCCTTAGAAAATTAATTTACCCACTTTCAAACTTTATCGCGTCTATTTGAACCCGCCCACTGATTTGTCAAATGTTGGCGAATTTTACTGGAGTAAGTAAGTAAGCAATAACTTTATTTAACCACGGAATCCCTATCACTAAAAAGTGGTCTTCTAAAGAGCCGTGCCGTTGAATTCTTAAGATTTTTTCCTGGCTCCAAAAGGGAAAGGAAAATTCGTCGGCGTATGTTAATGTCCTCCTTAAAACTTCGCATTAGGAGGTTACACGTGGCATGAATACTTTCAAGAGGTTAGGATAAGGCATTTCTTCCGGGGAAGGCGGTAAATTGTCTTAAGTGTCAGGTAATCAAAATAACCCACCGATACTAGTAATCAACTATCTGCTTTCTGTTAAAGACGGTGCAAGCGAAGAGGAAAAAAGGCAATTCCTGGATGAAATAGAACTCATGAAAGAGGTGGGGAAACATCAGAACGTGCTGAGTTTCCTTGGCTGTTGGACGACAACGAAACCATTTCTTTTGATCATGGAGTATGTTGCTCATGGAGACTTGCTTTGTTGGCTTCGCCGAAAAAGAAGTCAGGTATTTCAGATAAAAAATAAAATAAGATAAAATAAGCTATTGACTATTTTAACGCCGACTTGTTTTTTACCAAACGCCCACATTTTCCTGCTTGAATTCTGGTTTGATTTTCAGACGGTTTTTGTGAATACATGAGAATGCCATACGCAAAATTCGAGCACATCAACTTCTATACTTTCAGTCGACGCCATGTTGAATTTTGAGCTCGAGTCAAGGGTTCCAAAGGAATTGTGGACGAAAATATTGGCTAATTTGATTGGTTAATGTTTTACATTTGGCGTATTAATCCGCGTGCAACAAAAAGTGTCAGTACACACGAGGGGGCGTTTTCAAGTTCGTTCAATTTGCCCCGGGAGCTTACTCCCAAATATTCAACTGGTTAAATATCGTGGAGCATTTTGCGGGTTGGAAATTCTGCTCCCGAGGATAAAGTATACCCATGAAATCGTTGGTACACACGGTGGAGCTTTGCTCCCGGAGCGTGCCCCTGGAGCATGCTCCGGGAGCAAAACCCCTCGTGTGTATCGGCCTTTATGGAAAGAGACGCTACAGCAGCTTTAAATCGAGCCGGTACTCAGTACTTATGTCGTGCTGCCACGTTCATGAATGTACAGTTAAATCCCGCTTTACACACACCCGTTAATACGGACACCTCATTATAACGGACAGCTTGCTTGGTACCTGGGAGAAGAAACCCCTTACATTTTCTCTAAATTCAACCCGCTTAATACGGACACTTTCTATGCTCCCTCAGTGTCCGTCAGCGGGGTTTGACTGTAAGATACAGTAATAACGTATAATGTTTAAGCAACATTTAGAAAGTATTTAAACTGAAATCCATTTTGATAAAATGGACGGCATAGGCAACTTATCTATTTTGTGGCTGCTGTCGTAATTACCTTCACAGATAAGCAGTTCGACCCTGAGAAACCCAGAGGCCAGTTTGAAGAGCGAAGAATTGTATGCCGGAACAAGGAAACAGAGTGTCACTGTTCGTCTGGTATGGAGCTACTTGGGCAAACTAACACAATAAGAAAAACACCCTGTCCCAATAACCACAACGAAAAACTCTATGGATGCTGCTTCCCAAAGAAACAAAATTATGCTTCACTGTGGGTTTACTTTCAGAATGGTCTCTTCATGCGTCATGACAAGTTTATGTGACTACCGTAAATAGCTAAAGCTCTAGGATCATCGTCAAAAGTGATAGGAAGGCTTCTACTTTCTACCCCCCGCCCCTCGCCCAATGTTAAACAAAACTTAAGTGTTTATGCGCCTAATTGTAGTGTTATATCCCAACATTGCATAGGGGGAAAGGGGGGGGACGAAGAAAATTTGGTTGAAAGGAAAACCATCTTTCTTGAGGATTAGAATGAACTGCTTTAAACCTGAACAACCTACCCAACTGCTTTTATCAGGGATTGTAGATTCGACAGAGCTACCACGCACGTTCGCAGGGTAAGAAGAAAATACAAACAATTTTCCCGCCCGATTAGGTATTCGCCGAGTCATCTGGACTTTCTTGGGTGAGGGTCTGTTTCCTGTGGCTGTATTTCTTTTCTTCAAATCAAATTACTTCTCTGCGTCGTTGATTTATTTCCCTATTTCTCCGGACTAAGATTTATGGTGACTTACAGTTTTAAATTATAGCAGTGACCTTGATCTTGCTCTTGACTTTAGTATGGTGTGGCATAGGAAAAGAAGAGTGGAAGACAGTCGGGTTTTGTGAGAGGTCAGGGCCTTCTAAGTCAGCTCTTTATAAGTTGTACAAAGAAAAAAATGATACCGATGACGATGAAGAATGTACAATACCCATTATTGTATTTTCCACATTAACTGATGTAAAGGATCAATTTGCTCTTGGCTGAAATATGTCGCAAAAATAGCAAAGTGAGGAGTACATCTGGGGCAAAGATGGTAAATAGCACATTTGCATACGAATCTACACCGGATGGTATACAAGGGACAAATGTGGCATTTGCCATCTTTGTCTCAGATTTACCCTTCCGCTTTCACATTATTGCAAAATATTTGCCAAGAGCAAATTTGTGCAAATCCATTTTCTTTTCGTCCAGTTGGATGAGTTGGCAGAAAACACTGAGGACGAATGTGACTACGACTGCGAATCGTTCATTCCATTTGATCTCATGTCATTTGCCCGGCAGGTTGCCCGTGGAATGGTAAGGAATGTTCTGTCGTTAATTCGGTAAATGCAAGTCGAAACTGAATGAGAAAGACCTCAGAAACTCACCGATAGCAAGTTCATGAACAGAAAAAGTTGGTCTTAAAAACAAAGTTTCTCCTTGTGTCTCTAAACTCTCTTCTTGGTATTTGGCACGGTTAAAAACTGTATGTTAACATTATCCTGCTTAATTGTTTGAACATGCAACTGACTAAAACGATCTGAGTGTTTATTCAAAAACAGTCAACCAGGTTCGTGTCAACGCCATTTTCGATTTTATAGAACATTTTAACCCTATTCAGACCGTTTTTATTTCTTTTGTTGCTTTCTGCTCCAAAATCGCTCATGGTACGGCCACCAAAATTGCACATAATAACGTATTCATCGCCTGAACGATTGACATAATGACGTAATGTCACGTCATTATGATGCCATATTGTTGAATTTATTGGCGGAATCCAAATTTCATCAATTTTCTCCTCTCAAATTAGACATAAAGACTTAAATATGTGTCCGATAAAATCAAGATGTTAACTAACACTTATTATGACGTTGTTTATTATTAAAGAAAGAACTGGAACCATCTGCCATCTTGGACCTGCCATTTTGAATAAATCAAATGTATATCAATTTACCTAAAACAAATTTATAATTAACTAAGATAGTGCGCGCGTTCTGATTGGTTAAAAACCTATAGTTTAATGTGCCGGTAAACTCATAGAAAACTTAAAGTTATTTTATAAAAGCAATAGACCACACTTTCTATGGGTTTACCGGCGTGATAACCCATTTGGGATGTTGGGAGAACACTCCAAAAGCTTTTAAATCACTCGCCTTCGGCTCGTGATTTACACGCTTTTCTCGTGTTTTCCCAACATCCCGCGTGGGTTATCACGCCGACAAACCCATGGAAAATGTGGTCTCTTGCTTAAATAAATGGAAGTAATTGTGATAGACTGAAGGATGCAAAAAAATCTGCAAGTTATGAAATTCTTGAAGAGAAATAAACACCAGTACTGTTGAAAATTGAACTCATCGTCTGCCATTTGCTCATTCTGAATTTTTCTCATTTAGTAACTAAATAACCTAGACTACATAAACAGCTTTAATCAAGTAAAGATAGACAAGAAAAACCTTTTTTCACAGAAATAATGCAAAGTTTTGAAATATATAGGCTGTTAAAACTCAGCTAAAACTCGGATACCATGGCGACGTCAATGTTGACATATACGTCACGACGACTAGGAAATGTTCCTGGGAAAGATTTTGAACGGTTTTAACCTGTTTATGTTTTTACAGAAGTAAAAATGAGATGTAAATAAATGCAGGTTGTTGACGCTAGAAGGAACTTCATAAAAAACTGAATTTAGGAATCACTGGGAAGACCCTAGCCTGAGAAAATAGGGAGCTTTAGCATCGACGACGGCAACGGCAGCGAAAACGTCAGTTTTAAAATGACTGAGTTCCCGTTTTTTCATTCTTTGTCGCGTTTATTCCAATTTGCTGAAAAAAGGCAAGTGTAGGCGAATTTCCCTGGAGTTGATTTCTTGAGGACCGCACTCAAGTTTAGAGAGAGAAAAAGAGATACGTCGTCGCTTGTTTACGTCCTCCATAAAACTTGCAATTAGGCATTTTCACGGCGTAGTCGTGCAAGGACGGTGAATGTTTTTTTACAAAAAAGCGTGATGCACGTGCAAAGTTGTTGTTTTGCGTAATAAACCTATTGCTTTTTTGACGTTTTGGTTGCCGTCGCCGTCGTCGTTGCTAAAGCTCCCTAATAGCTGACATTTGGCGACGCCACCATCCTTGGTTTCCCCAAAAAATGACACCTGAGAAACGAGCGCAGAAATTTCCAGATCTTGGTAGTGCCTCTGATAGGTCGTGCCGCGTGGGAAATTTGCTATAACCAATCAGAAGCACTATTCAGATCTGGGAAGTGACGCGTCATCAGTATGGAATTTCTGCGCTCGTTTTTCAGAGGTTATTTCGCGGGAAAACCGGTGGTGGCTTCGCGAATTTCTCAGGCTAGGAAGACCGTATTAAGGCACGTCTTAATCACTGTATGCGAGCCAGTAATGCCACCTTCGAAAGGTCTTAAAGCCTGAAAATGAAGGCTTGATATTGTATAGAAGAATTTAAATACTTTTGGTTTAAGTGGTAGTTACAAAACAAACCTCAGAAGTTCTTGCTTACAAGAAATCCTTAGTCCCGAAATCATTATCTTAAGAAGCTCCAGCTGCCGGATAAAGTCCAGTAAATTAAATATGGGCATTTTTACTACGGTAGATTAAACTGGCATCGGATTATCCTTTAAGTTAATTATTTGCAATTTTCAGAGCTACCTCGCAGAAAAAGGCCTTGTTCACAGAGATCTAGCCGCGCGAAACATCCTTGTGGCACACGGTAAAAAGCTTAAGATTGCTGACTTTGGTTTGATGCGGGAATTACATCATGGGATGTACGAAGTAAAAAAGCAAAAGAGACTGCCGATCAAATGGATGGCACCAGAATCATTGTACGAACAAATTTTCAGTTGCAAGAGTGATGTGTAAGTAAAAAGTATAACATAGTCCACGCACTACAGAACAGAGATTAGATCAGTAAGATCAAGACCAACCCTAATGAAGAAACAAACCTGCCGTGTTCAGTTCTTCCACTTTTTTCATTATTTTCACGCTTTTCTTTATATTTTGTAAGTAAACGGATAACTAAGTATGGTAAGAAAACAACCAAAATACTGCACTGGTATCAAGTGTGAAGCTGGCTTTAAACCTCAAGTAGGCAAGACCCTATTTACACGGGTCTGGACAAATTTTTGAACGCAGGGTTTTATCTAGGATTTTTCGCTTGGGGGAGAAGTCCCGAGTGGCCGAAGGCCCCGAGCTCCTAGGGGGATCTGGGGACATCGCTGAGATGCAATCTGCTACATTTTGAGACACAATTGTGTCCTTAGACAGGTATTACTTACTTCATGTGCACTGACTTCGTCGCGTCTGGATAATTTTCCGATATAGTTACTTTTATACTGTAACAATAACAATATTTTTTGGGGGAAGCTTCTACCCCTCAAATACCCTAGATAGAACCCTGGAACGGACAAACTCTTGTACGAGTCCGCCTTTCCTTTACATGGAATTGGCCAGGACCGGCGGATACGTGCACGTTTTTGAACAGAAAAGAGTAATACGATTTGTGGTTTGTATAAACGGGTTGCACAGGTAAAAATTCGTCCGTTCAAAATTTTGTCCGAAGCTGTGCAATGAGAAATGTCCAGAAATGCACGCATTGGCGAAAATGGCAAAAATGGCGATTAATCGCCAAAATCGCCAAACTGTAAACAAAATTCAAATGAGATAGGAAAGGGGTCCTTTGGAAAGTGGCGATTTTGACGAAAATGGCGTATTTACAAAAGGGAGAGAGTGTTCGTTCAAGCCAACCAAACCAAATTTCATGACCCACAGCTAATCCACCAATTACTCGAGGAGAGACCCACCAAGTCCTTGAAATGATACTGACTAATTCCTTACCATGGACACTCTAACTTTTGAGGTTCGATGTAGACCTAAACAATCGACTGCGAAACGCCAGGAACCGTGCGTTTCGCAGTCGGTTTTGATTTAAGCTGCCTCACAAGTTAATGGCACCGATGTTAAGAGAATTGACACCAATGAGGATTGTTTAGGTCTACATCGAACCTCAAAAGTTAGAGTGTCCATGGTAAGGAATTATTATCATTTCAAGGACTTGGTGATTGTCTCCTCGAGTAATTGGTGGATTAGCTGTGGGTCATGAAATTTGGTTTGGTNGTAGACCTAAACAATCGACTGCGAAACGCCAGGAACCGTGCGTTTCGCAGTCGGTTTTGATTTAAGCTGCCTCACAAGTTAATGGCACCGATGTTAAGAGAATTGACACCAATGAGGATTGTTTAGGTCTACATCGAACCTCAAAAGTTAGAGTGTCCATGGTAAGGAATTATTATCATTTCAAGGACTTGGTGATTGTCTCCTCGAGTAATTGGTGGATTAGCTGTGGGTCATGAAATTTGGTTTGGTAAGACTTTGAAAGGAATAAACCATAAAAAAGCAAATGATGCTAGTGTGATATTTCAGCGCATCACATTACTTTTGGCAAGTCAAGCGAGATCGAAAGTAAGAAAATGTTTACTTAACCTGTGAAGTACATGGCACAAATGCATAAGCTTAAGTGAAACGACTTCCATTCGTTGTTTTCAGATATATTTGATTGAGTTGTATTTGATAAATATTACTTCACAGTTAAATAAAGCCGTTTTGTGATATATCTGATTCAGTTGTATTTGATAAATGTTGCCTCACAGCTATTGGGGCCTCTTTAGTTATCTAATTTGAAGGGGCCACTTTTGGCATCCAATTTGAATATTTGCCACATTCTGAACTTTTTTTTAGTAATGTTGCCTCACAGTTATAGGGACGTCTTTGGTTATCTAATTTGAAGGGGCCACTTTTGGCATCCAGTTTGAATATTTGCCACATTCTGGATATCGCCAACCCCTTGGCGATTTTCGCCAAAATCGCCAGTCTCCTAGGGGTCGGGACGTTTATCGCCATTATCGCCAGCCCTCTGGCGATTTTCGCCAAAACCGCCAATTTTGCCAATGTCGCCAGTCTCCAAGGGGCCTCTTTTGGCATCCTATTCAAATCGCCAGAGGCTGGCAATTTTTCGAAATTTTTTGCTATTTTCGCCATTGCATGCATTTCTGGACATAATTGAAACACACGGACAAACAAAATAGACAAATAAAACAAGAATGTCCCTAACCAGACAATGATCAGTTATGGATTCACACTCCCCCTCCTGATTTATCCAACAGTGGTTTTCAGTGGTGCTCTGTGAATTTCATTTTCTTTTCTGCAGAGGGTTTCGTGTCTTTTTGTTTTTCTTTGTCTCTAAGATAGTCTAAAATTGAATAACTTTATGAAGAGTTATAAAATCCATGCACACGGATAAATCACTATCCACTGGATAGTGCAATTGGTTTCCCTAACACATTTCCGTTGGAAAGTGATTTATCCGGTGGATAGCGTTTCAAATCCAACTTTTGAACAACTGGGGCCAGATGTTAACGTGCATGATCTTGACATCGATGTTAGTGAGCTCATATGTTTTGTGATTCTTGCGTTAAGTTGCCGTTGTTTTTTCTTTTGAGTGTTGTTTTTTCTTTTCGTTTTGATAAAATATAGTTTGAAAAAAAAAATCTGATGAATTCGCTAATTAAATGCTAAATATCAAAAACTTGAGATAACCATTATAATACTTTTTTTTCACAGTTGGTCGTTTGGAGTTGTCATGTGGGAAATAGCAACCCTTGGTAATGTTACAAAATGACAGGTTCTTTTTAGCAAATCCATACACCCACTAGGGAAACTATATCCTGCCCTCTCCATTTATTCTTGTAACCTGATATTTAATTCATTCTACAAATAGCATCTTCATCTTCAAATCTTGTAATACAATACAAATGGCTTGTAAAATAAATAAATGGAAGGAAAAAATAAACTAAACTAAGGAGACAGTGTTTCTGGCACATTTTCATTACTTTTCTTTGTTTCGAAAAAACTTGTAGTCTTAATCTGGTATAAAATTATGAAGAGTTTATCAATGCGTAATGACTATTCCGGGAATAATCAATTTTTGGTCTATACTTTATAGGTGGTTCGCCGTATCCGCTTTTAAATAACATAGATGTCATGAGACGTCTAAAGACAGAATACCGCATGGAAAAGCCCGACTTGTGCCCGGATGACTGGTAAGTTTTTTTAAAAAAATGTTGACTAGCGGTGGAAAAAGGGATTTTTTCCCCTTTATCTTTCTTGTTGGTAGTTCACTGACAACTCTCTCTTAATGGCGTTTAAGGTGGTTCGAACCACGATTTTAGGTAGGCATATACCTTCCATCTTTGAGCCCCTTATACCTAAATGACTTGTGAATCCATTATAACAAATAGATTATACGTAGACTGGACTTTATAATGATTTAGTAAAATCCAAGTAAAGTTCTATTATCAATGCTGCGTTCTGATCGGTTGGGCTACTACTGGGCTATATGTTATAGCCAACCAGTAGCGAAAAGCGTTGGCTTTGAAAACCAAAACAATGGGGGCTGAATCGCGTTTTGCTACAATCAGGGACAAAAGTAGTTGACACACTTGTTTAAAAGGGGTGCTTTTAACAAACATTTAATTCATTTATTATTTCATTCTTTTTAAACGCCGTAAATCCCCTCACCCCCCGAATCAATGTTGTCTGAAGTAAAAAGAACACTTGAGGGTCCAAAATTCAACATTGATTTTGGGGGGAAAGGGGTTGGGGTAGACAGGGGAAGGAGATAAGTATATCCACTATGCAAAAAGGGGCCATTTTATGGAAGTGTGTCAACACTTTTGTCCCTTATTGTCTGAATGCAAAATTGTGCTGCTGCACACAAGTTGAGCCGTGCATGACACTGATTTTGACTGAAATTAAACAACATAATTATGTTATTGGTGGTGGGGGTGACATTGACTTATTCACGACCGAATTATAGGGCCAATTCGAATTACGTGATGACGTCATAAAAGGGCTGCGATATCCAGAATTAACGTCGATATGGTTTACAAGCTAAAACCTGACGCTGAAACTCGCGCACATGTACAACTTTTGATGAATTTCAAGGGTATGCCTACTGAAAATATTTTTAATAAAGTGAATATTTCTCGTTCTTCACTTTATCCGATTGTTAAGGCGCAAACAATCACGGGTAGGGTAAGGNACACACTTGTTTAAAAGGGGTGCTTTTAACAAACATTTAATTCATTTATTATTTCATTCTTTTTAAACGCCGTAAATCCCCTCACCCCCCGAATCAATGTTGTCTGAAGTAAAAAGAACACTTGAGGGTCCAAAATTCAACATTGATTTTGGGGGGAAAGGGGTTGGGGTAGACAGGGGAAGGAGATAAGTATATCCACTATGCAAAAAGGGGCCATTTTATGGAAGTGTGTCAACACTTTTGTCCCTTATTGTCTGAATGCAAAATTGTGCTGCTGCACACAAGTTGAGCCGTGCATGACACTGATTTTGACTGAAATTAAACAACATAATTATGTTATTGGTGGTGGGGGTGACATTGACTTATTCACGACCGAATTATAGGGCCAATTCGAATTACGTGATGACGTCATAAAAGGGCTGCGATATCCAGAATTAACGTCGATATGGTTTACAAGCTAAAACCTGACGCTGAAACTCGCGCACATGTACAACTTTTGATGAATTTCAAGGGTATGCCTACTGAAAATATTTTTAATAAAGTGAATATTTCTCGTTCTTCACTTTATCCGATTGTTAAGGCGCAAACAATCACGGGTAGGGTAAGGATTGACACGTAGTGGCGATAGTCACTGGCCGGCCACGGAAATATGGAGCGTTAGTGAGGAGCGGCCGTTACTGCATTCAATATCGAAACTACGGAAAAGTGAAGATAAATTCATGGCCAATTCAATAGAAAACTAAGGACAGCGTAGCAACCATTGCAAGTGTACACGAAAACAATTACTTTCAATCCCACCTCGTAACACCCTGTGTGACATACAACGCAACGCAAATAGCGTGACATGAGCGTATATGTCTGTGTATTTGGACTGCATTTCTTAAGCGAAACAGCGTCTTTTTGTCTATTGTCGGCAAAGAAAATGAAAAGAGAGCTTTGAAACGTGAACTGGTATTTGACTCCCAAAGAAAACGACAGCTCAAACTGAGGAAAACACTGTTTCCTTTGTGTAAGTAACATTAGTCTGTTATGACCTCTTAATGTCGATATGTATTCTCGTGGTTAACCGTTGAAACTCCTTATTTGCACCTCATCGCTGGAATTTTTCTCGCCAAGAATACGTATTGCGAAGCACTCTCTACATAGCCGAATCTTCTTTTGCCTTTTGTGAGGAATTAGCGCATACAAAAGGAAGATTTTCCAGCGCACGGCCGTCAGCGATCACGTGTTATCCCGCTTTCCTTGTCATCAAGTGAACTTCTGGGCCAAAGTAATTGCTGTTTTGGCGATGATACAAACTGGTGTCTCTTACAATTTCTTTGGCATTCTGTCATTTACGAGCAGGGAAATGAAGTAGTTGTCCATCCAACATCAACAGAAAACCATGCCACTGAATAAATGGCAGGCGGTCATCTAAAATCATTACAAAAGTACATTCCTTACCTGGTCTAACCTGTTCGACGCCTACCTACGCTTAAGGTTTGGATCAGTTAGGTTTGAAAAGGTCTCCAAAAAAAACACATCTATATATAGAGCATAGCACAAAAGGCTGGCTCATCATTTATGAGGTGCATAACCTGTATATTGTTCACGTCCCTTCACTAATGGCACAAGTCAATGTCAAAAATAATGCATGTCCCCTCCGTTACTCTGCAGTACTTCATTCGCTTACGTTAACCATTTACCAGAAGAATTTTCATTGTACCGTAGTGTTTCCATCCTTTTTCCACTATTGATAATACTTGCGAGAACATTTCATCCGCAGCAACGGCATTGATCACAACACAAATGATTTCCTCTCGACCCGATAGGGTATCAGGAACGCGCGCGGGAGTACAAGATTAAGTAATGACATGCGCCTCGTACATTTTACTCTACGTATACTACAAATCAGGACGAAACTTTTCAAATTGTTGTTTATAAACAAACAATTTGGCCCATAGAGTAACGTCATCGCACAAAATTCAGCAGCGTCAAAAATCTAGCCGGAAAACACAGATACATATTTCAGACAATCAGGGACAAAAGTAGTTGACACACTTGTTTAAAAGGGGTGCTTTTAACAAACATTTAATTCATTTATTATTTCATTCTTTTTAAACGCCGTAAATCCCCTCACCCCCCGAATCAATGTTGTCTGAAGTAAAAAGAACACTTGAGGGTCCGAAATTCAACATTGATTTTGGGGGGAAAGGGGTTGGGGTAGACAGGGGAAGGAGATAAGTATATCCACTATGCAAAAAGGGGCCATTTTATGGAAGTGTGTCAACACTTCTGTCCCTCATTGTAGCTAAAGTTGTTTTGTCTCGATATTTTTTACCAACTAGTTGGATTTTACTAAAACAAGTATTCCTCTCTCTCTCTCATGGCCTCTGAGTCAATAGCCCATGAGGCCTTCGGCCTCATGGGCTATTGACTCAGAGCCTATTCGGGCTCGAGGAATAATTGTTAAAAATTTTTTCGAGATCGCAAATGGAAGTCTCGTGACAATGAAGTCAATTGTGAGTACCTCCAGGCTGCACTGCGCCAGTGTGCGACGCTTCACAAAAAAAATTAGTACACGAACTCTAAGATAACTTGGATTTCTAATTAGGGTATAATATAAGCGTCGACTGAAGACTGGATGTTTAATACATAAAAAAAGTTTGCTACTTCTTGGATGTTTCCGAAAGGTTTTTTAACTCTCATTATTCACAATTATCCTCCACACATGCTCCACGGTTGAACTTGCGTGATTTAAAAATTGAAAATATACATGTAGAATATATGTATGGGTTAAACGTAATACATGAGCTCGTGGGTTGGTGTTATGTGTGCCCCTTGCTTTGATTTACTGGTAATTCGTGATCCACCTTCCCCGTGCATGACGTGGAAGGTGTGCGGTTCCCAGCCAACAGCTCCCACTTGTGTTGTGTAGAGCTGGCGCTTGATAGACTGCTTTGCACTCACCTCCACAGTAAGGGTTTTTGAGACACGGGTTTTCCCCGTTCATTAACCCAACGGCTGTTCCACGCTGGTGGGACCCAATAAGGGCGAAAAAGCTGTCTGTGGTTGCCACTGCCTCTGAAATCTTTACTCGTTGGCACTTAGCGATAGCTATAACTAGTAATAATGATAATAAAAAATGCAATTGTCACCGTTCCTTTATAAAAAAATGTCTCTCACAGTCCTTGAACTGCCCTAAAGGTCAAGCCTGTTGGGCTTTACTACTTGTCTGTCTCTCCGGGTCACATATGGGGTTCCACTGCTCTCTTTGGGAAGCTGAGAATGCTGCTCTTGGGATGGTGGATCCGGCAGCACTGCAGGAGGTGCAGCTTGATTAGACTTTTCCTTGGCAACGGTCAGGTTTGCTCTGTTCTCCAATGACGGTTCAGGATCTATCTCTTGTTTTGGGGGCGGGGCAAACTCGTAGATGCTGTCGGTTGCGGCGGTAGTTTCTCCCGTCTTCAGTTTGCACTACATAACATCTTGGGGTGTGGTGATGTCTTACAACTGTTGCTGCTCTCCATCGTTTGCTATCCGTCTCAGGCTGCATTCTCACGTTAGTACCCTGTTTAAGTTCCTACATACTCTTGCTGGCATAGCGGTCATCGTACTTTTTCTTATGTTCTTTAGTCTTCTTCAGGTGTTTGGAGATTTCATTCTGATTGTTACCGGTTGGAGTAAGCAAACTTTCCATCATAGACAGCTCATTTTTCAGTCGGCGTCCCATTAATAGTTGCGCTGGTGACATTCTGATGTCTGGCAAGAGGGTAATTCTTACTCACTTTCTTCTTCTTCTGGATCAGAGTCCTCTACTTCTTCAAGATTGTGGAATTCTTTTGATCTGCAGGACTTTGTATCTTCTTACAGAGTCCGCACTGTTGTCCCATTGCTGGACATTTTTTATGGGTCTTATCATAACCACATCTACCACATTTATCTTTGGACTTGCTAGTCTCAGGTTTCTTCTCTTCACCTTTATTTCGTGGACGCATTTGTTTTGCACGTTTCTTCTTTTCTATGGCATTCACAGTTGGCTTCACCCTTCGATAGTTTTTTCAGGCTGTTTCAATTCGTTTCGTGGTCTCGACCAATTTCAACCGCTTTTTCAAGCGTCAATTCTTTGGCCAAATCGAGATACTTTTCCCGAACTTTTGCGTACTTGCGCCGACCACTTACTTAGTGGTGGTCCAGTGCAACGATGTCCGTGTTGAAGGAAGAGTTGTATAGATAAGTAGCTGTTCCAATAGCTGTATAGCTATTTAAAGTCTTTTACTTTATTATAATTTAGATATAGATCGATTCGTCTTTTAATTTGCCGGGAAATGAGATTATTTTATACGTAATTATTGACGAACTAAAAAGGCGAGGAAGCTAATGAGGACCCCAACTAATGATAATTTGTAATTTAACGTATAAACTTAACAAAAGTTTATGATGTGAAAGCCTCATGGATTCTTTAGGGATATCAAAAGACATCATCGACGATTAAAAATAGACTGCTTTTGTCCCTTTACTTTCTAGTTATTCCTTGATGAAAGACTGCTGGAAGCAGAACCCTGATGAGCGACCGAGTTTTCCAGAATTGGTTGAAAGATTAGAACAACTGGTACTTCAGGAGGTGGAATATTTAGATTTTAACTTGTTGGACGAAACTAAAGATTACTATCAGGTGCCAGCTGAGTCAAATACGGGGGAAATTGACGACGAGGAGATGTCTTTTGCATAGTACTCCGGCCCCCA